TCTAAAAAAATAAAAAAGTTACGAGGCATACAAAGTGGGTACGCAAACTTTACAGTTATACAATTTCCAGCGGGCACAGTTTTCTGACTACAAATGCTTATATCTATATCTATATGTGTCTACACAAATGTGTTGTTTTCCCACCAACTGTTCGTTTCGAGAATGGCAAAAATATTCCTTCACTTTGATGTGTGCAAAAATACCGTCAATGAACGGAAAACACGAGCACGAGCATTTGCTGTCATACTACTCGCGATTCGGCGAGTTGCTGTTCTGTACTTGGCGTGTGTACAGTCTGGAGCCGGCTAAAGGCATGGAACTTGAATAAAATCCCCTTTTTTCAAATCATTAAACTAAATTTCAATTAATATTTTATTATAATTAATTTATCATAAGATAACAATATTTATTCTCGGTATATATTAATAACCCAACACTTTTAATTTTGAACGTAGTTCGAAACTGTTTAAGAACGATGCTGTGAATGTTTGAAAGAATACTTGAGGGTACGTTTTTGAGAAAAATCGAGAACTAACGAAGAACTAGGTATATAGATATAAGCATTTATAGTCAGAAAACTGTGCCCGCTAGAAATTGTATGATTGTGAAGTTTGCGTACCCACTTTGTGTGACTCGTAACTTTTTTTTATTTTTGAGAACTAACGTAAATATTGAAAAACTATCGAGAACTAACAAAGAACTAACGATTGGTATATAGATATAAGCATTTTTATTCAAAAAACTGTGCCCGCTGGAAATTGGATAACTGTAAAGTTGGCGTACCCACTTTGTATGCCTCGTAACTTTTTTATTTTTTGAGAACTAACGTTAATATTGGAGAACTATCGAGAACTAACGAAGAACTAACGATTGGTATTTAGATATAAGCATTTTTATTCAGAAAACGGTGCCCGCTGGAAATTCTATAATTGTGAAGTTAGCGTACACTTTGTATGCCTCGTAACTTTTTTATTTTTTGAGAACTAACGTTAATATTGGAGAACTATCGAGAACTAACGAAGAACTAACGATTGGTATTTAGATATAAGCATTTTTATTCAGAAAACGGTGCCCGCTGGAAATTCTATAATTTTGAAGTTAGCGTACACTTTGTATGCCTCGTAACTTTTTTATTTTTTGAGAACTAACGTTAATATTGGAGAACTATCGAGAACTAACAAAGAACTAACGATTGGTATATACATGTAAGCATTTTTATTCAAAAAAAGTGTGCCCGCTGGAAATTCTATAATTGTGAAGTTGGCGTATCCACTTTGTATGCCTCGTAACTTTTTTATTTTTTGAGAACTAACGTTAATATTGGAGAACTATCGAGAACTAACGAAGAACTAACGATTGGTATATAGACGTAAGCATTTTTATTCAGAAAACGGTGCCCGCTGGAAATTCTATAATTGTGAAGTTAGCGTACACTTTGTATGCCTCGTAACTTTTTTATTTTTTGAGAACTAACGTTAATATTGGAGAACTATCGAGAACTAACGATTGGTATATAGATGTAAGCATTTTTATTCAAAAAAGTGTGCCCACTGGAAATACTATAATTGTGAAGTTGGCGTACCCACTTTGTATGCCTCGTAACTTTTTTTATTTTTTGAGAACTAACGTTAATATTGGAGAACTATCGAGAACTAACGAAGAACTAACGATTGGTATATAGATGTAAGCATTTTTATTCAAAAAAGTGTGCCCGCTGGAAATTGTATAACTGTAAAGTTGGCGTACCCACTTTGTATGCCTCGTAACTTTTTTATTTTTTGAGAACTAACGTTAATATTGGAGAACAATCGAGAGCTAACGAAGAACTAACGATTGGTATATAGATGTAAGCATTTTTATTCAAAAAAGTGTGCCCGCTGGAAATTGTATAACTGTAAAGTTGGCGTACCCACTTTGTATGCCTCGTAACTTTTTTATTTTTTGAGAACTAACGTTAATATTGGAGAACAATCGAGAACTAACGAAGAACTAACGATTGGTATATAGGTGTAAGCATTTTTATTCAAAAAAGTGTGCCCGCTGGAAATTCTATAATTGTGAAGTTGGCGTACCCACTTTGTATGCCTCGTAACTTTTTTATTTTTTGAGAACTAACGTTAATATTGGAGAACTATCGAGAACTAACGAAGAACTAACGATTGGTATATAGATGTAAGCATTTTTATTCAAAAAAGTGTGCCCGCTGGAAATTCTATAATTGTGAAGTTGGCGTACCCACTTTGTGTGCCTCGTAACTTTTTTATTTTTTGAGAACTAACGTTATTATTGGAGAACTATCGAGAACTAACGAAGAACTAACGATTGGTATATAGATGTAAGCATTTTTATTCAGAAAACGGTGCCCGCTGGAAATTCTATAATTGTGAAGTTAGCGTACACTTTGTATGCCTCGTAACTTTTTTATTTTTTGAGAACTAACGTTAATATTGGAGAACTATCGAGAACTAACGAAGAACTAACGATTGGTATTTAGATATAAGCATTTTTATTCAGAAAACGGTGCCCGCTGGAAATTCTATAATTGTGAAGTTAGCGTACACTTTGTATGCCTCGTAACTTTTTTATTTTTTGAGAACTAACGTTATTATTGGAGAACTATCGAGAACTAACGAAGAACTAACGATTGGTATATAGATGTAAGCATTTTTATTCAAAAAAGTGTGCCCGCTGGAAATTCTATAATTGTGAAGTTGGCGTACCCACTTTGTATGCCTCGTAACTTTTTTATTTTTTGAGAACTAACGGTAATATTGGAGAACTATCGAGAACTAACGAAGAACTAACGATTGATATATAGATGTAAACATTTCTCTTTAGGAAACGGCGTGTGCTAGAACCCGGAAGTGTGAAGTTAGCGTACCCACTTATTATCGGCTATAACTTTTTTATTTTTTGAGAACTAACGACAAAATTTGGGAACTATCAAGAACTAACGATGAACTAACGATTGGTATGATCAAAAGTGGATACGCTAATATGGGTACGCCAACTTCACGGACCTGTTAAATCGTAGTTATAATAGTCAATCAGCTGTTCATAGTATTATTATCTTTGAGTGTTGCCAACCTATTTCCAAGCGTACACGGATTACGTGCATAATAAAACCACGCTGTTTTGTGTTGTTTGGTTGGAATCCTGATGTGCGGCAAAGTATAAACCGTGCGGCGAAGTATAAACCGTACGGCAAAGTATAAATATGCAGCAATCAGCAGCTTTCTGTACTATAAACAGTACAGGGAAGCCAACTTTGTCGGGTGACTGTAGGAAAAGTATATATGTTGCAGATGATTGACGTTATGGCAAACCTCAGCTGTTGAGCTATTATTTTAAATGTAGGATCAAAGTGGAGGGGAATGAGGGGATAGATTTCTTCCCATATAAACCGGCTAAACAAATGACTTTATACCTCCGTCAGTAGATGGCTGACCGGCTGATCACATGGGTTTTAATAGTTTGATGTTTGGTATATCTTTAACTAAACGACGTCCAAAATAGACTGAATATTTCGCACTGGAGGCTGATGATATCACGACAATGTTGTGAACTGGATGACTGGATGCATAAACCAATATTTGTTCCTACCCAGTTAAAAGGGGGATTTCCATATCTAATGGTGTCAAAAATAACAATTTCGGAAAGCTCTAAGTGTCTGAAGATTGACGTAAGTAAAGGATGTGAACGAACGTAAGATAAGGCCTCGTCCTATATCCCGAAGTCCGGCACGGCCGTCTGGTCTGGGTAGAGAGTGAAAGTAAACGTATCCAGTACCTAGCACTGGGAGCGGGGAAGTCCACTGTAATTCTGTAACCAGCTTCCGTTTTATCCTTGATCACAGATAGAATGCTAAAAAGGCTGGGTTTTTAGCAAGTTTTCCTGGTAGAGAAGACACGCTGATCAGCCTCGCGCTTTTATAGTCGTCGGTAGTTTTATGAGATTACCTTTTGGTTGTCTGAGTATAGTGATATCAAGACCAGGATTTGGACAGGACCTTCAGGCTAGTCAGGATCAGTTTCAAACCATCAAAACAATAGCTCCTGTTTTTTTCATGGTTGAACCAGAAGCCTTCAGATTGTAGGGTGATCACACAAATTATAATCAGCTACCTAGTTACCCATCTAATATGCATTTCAAAAACGTCAAAAATGCCAATCATATTGATGACCATGATGATACTTTTCAACAAGTAACTTAAATTTTGTTCTGTAAGAACCTGGGGTGGTTAAACTGCATATTAAAATGCATATAAGGAATGCATATTACCACCGTGGTATTTGTCTAAAACCAGATATAAAAATCTTAGTTAAAAGTAAAATATTAGCATGAGCAATAGTGAGCTTTCTGTGTCTGTAGAGGTAATTATCTATAGTAAATTTTAGATTATTAAATAATAATTTATCATTTGTAGAAACACAGTTGGTTGTAAACGTTTTGCCATAGTTGTACCAAGGGAGTATGTTTAATCTATGGTTGTACCTATGTAACCTATCCGAGAACACTTTAATCAATTTTGTACAATCGAAAAAAATAGTATTTGAAATAGAATAAATTCAACAGTATGGTAACGTTTTAGAATTAATAGATTTGATTTAAAAAAGTAAAACGCCAAATACCAGTATAAATTAATCAGTATTGTTGGCATAAATATTTATAGAAAAATAATCGGCTGAATCGCTAAATGTCAACAAAAATTATGCCAAGATTAAGAAAACATTCAAATTCTAAGTCTACCCGTTCTTCCCAACAACAGCAAAACTCCATGAAAGCATTTTTGTGGCTTCGGTTAAGGTCTACTTCAAAGAACAATAAATTCCTGTCTGGGCCCGTCCTGGGATTAACCATCCATTCATTCCTAGAACCGACGAAAGTGGTGGGGTGTCGGAATACCGGGCATACTTCGACCTCGTGGTTTGGTGGGGGGCCGCCGGCAACAAAACCAACGGGTTGCAAATTGAGGCTTCATTCTACTTCTGTGGCCGGTGCGTGAAAGTTGTCAGTGCGATCGTCTGCTACTACTGTCATTACAGCATCGATTGTGCAACAATCTAATTCCAAGTTTGTTTGTGAAATTGTGTTGTGGTTATTTACTGTTTTAAGCCTAGGTGTGTGAATTTACTCAGCGTGTTTCGCTCTAGGAATATTTCTTCACGAAATAATCACAAAATGGGAATTGAAGTGTTTGAAGAACCTAGGCACATCATGAGCAACAAGTAAGTTATGATTTTATTATTGACTTGTTTTTGTCTGTTTAAGCTATCCTTCATCTTATTGTTATTAGGCTACTAAACATTTTTGTGACGAGTTTTAAGTGTATAATGATTATTTTCATAAATAATTAAACTAAGTTAAACTCATGTTACATTAGGCCCTATTTCGGTTCTTCTATATAGCTTCTTTAAGCCCCATCACAAATAAAGGTTACTGTACCCACCGTTGCCAATTTTGAAGACCGGCTATCTATTACAATACATTAGAGGGTTCTCAAGTGTCCTAATCCTTTATCTTATCACAGCTAAGTTAAGATAACAGTTTCCAACAAAGCTAAGTTATGTTCATTAAGATACTTTTGTGAATAACTTAGTCTAAACTTTTGTGGCACTGCTCTTGTCATAATCTAACTTTACAAATCAAAACAGTGTAGGCTAGCCTATTAAAAGTTATTGAATTAATTGTTTTGCTGACTGAACAATTTGTAGCCTACTTAAAGGGTCACAAAGAAGTAAGTTAAGAGCATTAGGCTTACCACTAACTTAAGTAAGAGCATCGCTTACACTCCCACCTAAAAAATGTAGCCATGTTTTGGTTAGGTGAGAATTAGACTCGGTTTTTTAACTAAAACACTTTGTACACTTGTAAAATTTACTCAGACTTTTTTTATTGGAAGGCGGAGCAAGTCTGCTAAGTTTTACACATAAATAGGCTACATTTACTACAGGATCAAGCTTTGTGTCCCAGGTTTCTTCCATTGTTATAACTTAAAGAAAAACGTTGTGATTGCAATGAAAAAATTGGTTGTACCTTCTTTCCTAGATTGGTTTTGGATTTTAAAGAAAGTTTTATCAGTTTTATTTTAAATTTAGCCTTGCCATCAGATTTGTATGCAGTACCGGTACCGATTATCCTTTAACAGTATGATTTAAGTTAAGTAAATTAATTTCAATATAGAAATGGTTGGGATTTTAATTATGCTTTTTTGACAAGGCTATTTTTAAGCATATTACCGGTACGTAGTAGACAATTAATTTACAAAACAACTGATGGCACTAAAAATTATAACATAGGAACAACTTCACATGACAAATAATAAAATTAAAGTCTCTAATGAATATGTTGTTTTCAGGGAGCTCAAGCGAGTAGGAAAGGCAGTGTCTGCATTGCTAGCTACAGCTGCAGATGAGAAGCGTATAACATGCGGTCTGCGGCCGGCTATCAAAGTGCTTGAGATGGATCCTGCGCAGATTCTGTTCTGCGTTATGCCTCACACCAACGACGCTGCCAAACATATCCAGTCTGTTCTGCTAGAGGCATTCTGTTACGAACACAACATTGCTATAATCAAGGTACGGTACCGTATGTAAATTACGTTGTAGACTAGGCCCACAGATAAAGCTAGAGGTAGGCCTATTTCATTCATGTTAAAGTTCTATCCCGTTTATGATAAAAAATGAACGTTAAATTGTGCCATGGATAGTGTGTCTCATTTCAATTGCTGTTTTTTGTGGAATAAGCCAACTTTTTATCCAACCAAAACTTAAAGTAGGCCTACAGTACAACCATGGATTAAAGAGTAGACCTACTAGGTACTCTGTCTAAGTTACTCTTTAATGTATGGTGTAACTCATTAAACGACTATAAGCTTAATCATTGACTATTGGATACTGCAGTAGACATCCCATCTAGGCCTATATTGACACTTTTTATTTAAAAAAAGAACGTAGTTGTGTGATCCAGTCACAGAATGCACTAGTGTCTAAATTTAAATTTTCTACCTTATCTTTTGTTGTTTAAATTAGATCATATAACAGTTGCTATAGCTCAGTCATTCCATTAGTTTGACTTGGTAAAAAAGTTTGTGTAATTTGACAGTAATTAGTAATAGACCAGCACAATCTGTTGCTGGCTCACAACTACGACAATTTTGATTAAACTTCTGACGATAAATTTAACCTGGGGATGGAATGTCTAGTTGTATCAATAGTCAAAGGCTTAACTCAACATTTAACCTACCTTGTAGCTACCATAAAAAAGAAACCAAACACTATTTATTTTTTCTATGCAACCAAAACTAAACTACAAACCCATGTCAAGTGAACACAGTAAATATTCAATAATCCAGACATTACACTGATTTGCTCAATCCTGACTAACAGTATCTACGTCCAGAGTGCACGCCGATTCAGATTTTCGGTGAGTGGTTAATCTGAGTCAGATATTTTGTTAGTGGTCATAGTGGAAGCATGAATAACGCCGCCGGTACTGACTCGGTTAGCAAAGAAGCAAGTCAGTCATAGTTATGTAATTGTCGGATGAGGAATGAACATGTGAAATGATACCGTCTGAAACTGAATGGTGTTCATGATATTATATAGGCCTATCTCTTTTACCCATAGCTAGAAATGATAAGAGCTTCTTTCTATATTGTGTTAAATGGTGCCCGAAACCACCGAACCCCTAACCCTAAAAAATAAGGATAAAAAAATTAAATACTTTACCGGTACTATGAAAACAAAATTTATTTATATTAAATAGTTTGGTACGATCAAAATCTGAATCTGAAACCAGAATGAAGAATTCATTCCGGCAAGCAGGTGCCTGCACGCGGGTTCGGAAACCGGCAGCCACTATGGCCACTTCCATTTGAATGCATGTGCCATTCCTGCCACCGAAAATCGATATCTGAATCGGCGTGCACTCTGGACGTACTGTAATGCCAGCTGGTCTCAGTAATAAAGCTACACAAGGCATCATACTCCATTCTACACTCATCCTTCACTATTATTTGGGTTAAAATACACACATAGGTGGCGTCCCCATCGCACCACCCCCGCGACTTTGATTAGCATCATAACTGTAAATATGCATTTTACGAGTTGCGCGGGATCTGAAATATAACAGAGATAAGGCTCATTGTATTTACTTTTGATTGTTGATCAAATTACCCACATGGTAAACTAAGAACGTAAACCATCAATTAAATATACAATACCGTAATTTTAACTTTTACTTACATATACACACTTAATTCCAAGGGTGCTTTCTTAAAAATAAAATGGACTTTAACTAAAAGTTCTTAAAATGTTTAATTAAAAAAATGGTTTTAATTTATTTCAGATGTAATTGCAGATATTTTCCAAATAGCGTCTGTTGCTTGGGCCCCCAACAAAACAAAAAAAAAAATCCCACCATGCCCATTTGTAACCGCGGTACTGGTCCCCATCTCAAATTAATATGAAAAAATATTATCAATTTCTCTACCAAATCCTACACACTTTTGTTGTGAGTTCTATGACTCAGGTTAGCTAACATTGTGTAGTTTTTTTACATTGGGTGCATATTTATACTTTACACATATTGCCAACATAATCTAACAAACTGGATATCCCACAGGTAGACAGCCTGGATAGACTCAGAGATACGGTTGGAGAAGTAGACTGCAGTTGTATCCTCATACATAGACACAGGAACTTCGATCGGCTGCTTTGCCTCGAGATAGAACTGGAAAGGATGATCAATTCTCCAGAACTCACGTTTGTGACGCAGCCTGTATTTAAACTGCCCGCCAAGTGATCCCAATAGTGTAGATACTTTGTAAGTATTAGTGGATTTAGTTTTGTTTTTTGTTTAATTTTACCAATGAAACACATTTTGTATGGAAGTTCCGGTCACTTAAAATTGTTGTGACTAATATTGTCTTTATTGTTTGACGGGTGATTTTCTGGGATTTTAAAGAAATTTTTCTTTTTGCATATGAATCAAGTATCAAGCAGTTTATCCCATTGATTTGACGACAAACAGTAAATAATATTTGTAAAAACAATTGGTTATAATTATTTTGTAACAGTTTTATTTCATATGTTTTGTTACGTTTAAATCCTTAATTTGGTTGAAAATGTTGGCCTAGTCTTCAAATGACACGCTAAAACAATTAGATGCTAAATATCTCGAACTATAACCTACTTCACTCGAGTGGAACCAAAGAGATTATCTTATCTAATAAACATACCACTTAATACTTCATTGTAGGCCAAATCAATTCACTCCTACTGAATGAACAGTAAATATTTTCTTTCAAAGTTCATAATATTTTATGTCTCACACACTAATACACTTCTTACGACTTTAGCTAAATCAGTTGTAATAAATTGTATATACCTTAGCCCAGTATTTGTAGAGTGTTTGATGTTTACGAGTATATGTTGTTATTTAGGCCCACCAACTAAAAAACTATTTAACAAAAAAACGTTTTAATATACAACATTATGTTTGTATATTGTTGCATGTCATCTGGTATAAAATAACCAAAGAGGTAAAAGCAACCTTTAAATTCATCCTCAATTTACAGGAAACCATTAAAGGCTAAAGGACTTAAGCCGAACCAAAATTAAGTTAATATCCTAAGATTGCAATTTAATGAAATGTTTAGGTATAGTATATTTAAAATGAATGATAAAACTAGTGCTACTATAAATGCAGTTCAAGTGGTTACCACATTGGTTCAAAAGCCGGAGATATCATATTAGAATACTAAAATTATCAAATAACCTTAAATTTATGAGTAAACAATTTGTATATTTTTCAGGTGGACAATTACTTCTGATTGATTCTAACAGCTCAGTCTGTTCATTGACTCGAGTCGGAGGATTCCTCCAAAGGACTCAACGAACGAGTTCGGCTTCGGCTTGAAGCCACACATTGTAACTTGTTCTTCCCACTGCGTTGGGATCTTATGTAGCTGTACATAAATGAGTGGTGTCTGACAAAGCTACATGCTAAAGTAACATGTTTTGTAAAACAATCCGTAGGAGATGAAAAATGTATGATTAAGTCAGTAGGAAAAACTTGTATCTTGCAACAACTTCGTTAATCTGTTTTGTTTCTTTAGCATTAAGTTCAACAGTGTTCGTTTAAGATGTTTTGTTTATTCAGTTTTGTTTGCTAGATATGTTTGAAATAAATGGATTATTGGAATTTGTTGTTGTTATTTGCCAGCGTATTTACAAAAATTGAATGGTTTTCTATTAAAAATATCTAAGTCGGGACCACGTAAGTTTGCAGTTGAGGGAGGAGCCTATTTACCATATGGTTTTGAATGGACCAATGAGAACCGTGCGGTGTTGCCAAATCTAATAATACCAGCTGATTTGAAAATATTGCTTAGTATATTTTAATTAGTGTTGTCAACAGGCGATGTGGCAACGTCGCACTAGCTTTGTCTTGTGATTGGCTGCTACCAACTGCAAACTTATGTGGTCCCGACTCTAGTGATTTACGACCCTAAAGTTCATACTTTGTAATACATTTGTAATATTTTGCAGGATAGCTTGTTGGATTGTTATATTTAGGTTAAATCAAAAATTTGTTAGCAATTAATTGAAAATTTTAATTCCATAATTTTTTACTAATAATTTGATTTTACTACCAAACTAAATTGGGCTATAAGAAGTTGTACAGAGAAGTGAGGTAAAGAGAACATTCATTTGTGCACCCAACTGGTATCTAGCACTAGTGCTGGTGTCTAGGGCAAAGTACCACCAACATGTACTACAACACTTATAGTGGAGCACCCAGTGTGATAGGGATTTCCGCACAGCACTCGCAGTTCAGGCTTTTTCTTGCTCAACACAAGTATATTTCTGGCACAACATATCAAAGCAAAAGCGTATTGTCATCCCACAAGCGGGTTTACTGCGTACCTTGCTTCTCTGTAATAGTTGTTAAAAAAATCATTGTAGTTTTTGTGTTCATAACCTCTATTAAAGAGAGAGCCTGTACCTTCACACTGTGTCCAGCACAAATCTAAATAGCTTATTCCCTATATGGGAAATTCGCTAAAAACAGGGCAGTAGGGTACTAAGAAAAGTGAGAAGGTGCAAAAATTAGCACTATTTGACGAGCTGTGGTTTGCATGAGTGGTGGGCCCACTGGGGCTGTCAGACAATAGACAATAGATAAGATAATGATCTTTTTTTTGTAATTTCTTCAAGAACTTTAAGAGATACTGTTCTTGGAGTCCTCTTCACCATTTTGACAGACACATTCTATGCACTTTAAATCTTAAACTGGCGATTTTATTTGATTTCACAGTGTTTGTTTTGCTGGATCAATAATTCACTTAACTGTGGTCACAAGTTCAGTGAATGTCTTTACTTGAATCAAAAGTTAAATACACTAAATGAGTCATGCCGTAGTGATGCTAGGACAAAAAGTTTTTGGTCAAATTATCAGTTACTGTGAACAGATTAAACACAGATGTCCTCTAATGTTAAACTATTTTGGTGATATCCTCAATTATTTATGGAACTGATATTGAAATGTGTAACTTCAAAAATAAAGAATGTAAATATTCATATATTATGGGACAAAATAATTACTTAGAAAATGGTGCTATTTATTGAACAGTAGTTTTTCTGGAAAAAACTATAAACTCATAGACTTAAGAGCTTGTGGTTGACTAAACAGGTTACATAATTAGCATATTTTTAAAAACAACAATAAAGATTATTGACAACCTGATCACAAAAATTGTCTGATTTGAGGTTTAACCCCATAAGAGTTCAATAAATTATCAATTATTTAAGATGTGGATGCCACTAGGTGTGTATTTTAACCCAAATATGAGTGGTGTGATATTGTAGTCTTTAATGACTAAGGTCGACTTCACTCATGACATGAACGCCTACCCTATCTGTTCACCTTTTTTTTACTTCTCATTGACTTTGTTGAAGTTATTGAACAACCTTTTCCTATACACAAGGTTAAGTGCTATAATATTGCATTATTTTATCAACAAACATAACTTTAATAAAATATAAACAATAAATTAAATTACTATGCAATACATATTCTATCTATTCCTTGATAGATGAATTTATGTTCTGATTCCTTCACGAATTTCCACACTCTATTAACATTGTCAGTTAAGTTATTAAGTGTAATTTCTTCATTAGTAAGCTCGTATTTAGCCACTTCCTTTAAATTAACTCTAAACTCATCGATTATAGATGGCATCCGTCCTGGGTCCCCTAGTAAGATTTGTACTCCCGGTTTGACAGATTTCACAAACCAATACATGATGTCGTGGTTTTTCCGTAGGTCGTATAGCATATCGCCAACAAAGATCACATCGTATTTGTAAAGGGGTCGATCTATGATGTCGTCAACGATGATTTTTATGCTCTTTGGGTCGACACCGTTCAATTCAGCATTCATTTCTGTCGCTACTGCAGCAACTGAAACAAAATATATATTATCTCACAAACGATTTAGTATTTGGTTATTTTTCAGAATAATTGCTTTATATTGTTTCATTATTTATCATATATACATTTTTTGCAAGGTAGGGAATATTTTTTTCAATATTATTGATTGAGTTGGGGACACTACATAGGTGTGTATTTTAACCCTAATATAACTTTCAAGTTTTTTTAAGGCGGTTGTTTGTTTTCTGATATTTGGAAGGATTAGTGTACACTAATCCTTTCTACATAGAATAGGATCACCATTCTATGTATTCTATTTCTATGTATGTATTCTATTATATGTATTCATAGATGTGACATAGATTCTACATATAGAATCTTTGACTATTTATAGAACTCTACGTTCCATTCCAATGTTAAAAGTTGTCACCAGTTGTTAAATAAAAATTGTCGTAGTTGGTGTGAGCCACCAACAGACTGAACTGATCAAAATGTTTCTGTAACTTTTTTTATCAAGTCAAATGGTAAGACTTATTGTGAGCTATAGCAACTGTTATGACCGATCAACAACTATGCAGGAACTATGTTCTTTTTTGATGAAAAATGGGCAACAGCTAAATGAAATGATGGGATGTCTACTTCACTATCAGTAAATGGTAGAATATATGGAGTAAGTGTAGCTTTGTTACTGCCTAAGATCAGCTGTTTCATTTGACACAACAATAAGAAGGCATGATATTGTTATAAAAGAAACTATTATTGTGATTTTATTAGCATCTTTAGTTACAGATTATTCTTTCTTGATTCCATACCCTGTATCAATGTTTGAATGTCTAATGATCACTAATGGTCGGGTTTTTAAGAACCATATTTTCCCCAGATTTAATTAGGGATCTTGAGATCTTCTCTTAAGGCGAGTACTAGTCATATCATGTTAAGTATATCGTTTAATTTCTGCATATCTCTCACCCAAATATTCAAGGAGAAGGCTATATGCCTGTTTAAGTCAACCTTAAAATGTTATTTTTAGTCATAAAAGCGCATCCTCAGTTTTTTCCCACATCCCCATTTGAATAGGGAAATTTTGTATCCTCTACCTTTACCCTGATCCATCCAGGAGTCTCAAACTACAGGCTGGCCATCTGTATGCGTAATAGTATATTACGTTACTAGTCCTGAAAATATGTTTTTACCATAGGAGTCCGGTAAACACATTTTGGACGAGTGGTATTTGGGGGGTTTGCATTTTGCAAGTATTTTTTTATAAACGTAACAACTGCACTGAACTAAATTACTAAAAACATTGAGTTTACGACTCACAACGGACATCACAAAACGACTATATGGGTTGACATAAGAGTTTGAGCTTTGAGGTTAGAAACAAGCAAGTACGCAGAGTGTGTGTCTCAGACTCTCAGTATTGCCAACAAGTCACATGCCAAATGTAAAAGTAGTAATCGTACGAGTTGTATACTAAACGGTATTTATTTTATGAATAAAACTAAAGCTAGATTGCCTTTCTTTAGAATAGTCATTGTCATTGATTACATGTTTACGAGTTTCCCGTACAATATTTGTATGCCGTTTGCTGATAACGTTCAAATTTTTACCTTCCAAAGCCGCGGCGGCGGCCAGGGCGGTCGCCCCTCTCGCCCAGCCCTCGGGGCGTCCCTGTGCTCATGTGACTTATTCTGTAATGGTACTTTGTTAAGATCAGCACACAGACCAGTCTATAGTGACAATTGAATTTAAATGAAAGAAAAATTAAAACAAAAATAATTTATCACAATGGATCCAAATTTTTTGTCCCCAAACAATTTATAACAGATGAAACCATTAAAGTGAGTTGATTAAGTAATTAATTCTCACATGGATCAATGTCGACAGCCGTTATTGAAGTAGCTGTTCCCAATTTGGCCGCAGCGATGGAAAGAGCCCCACATCCACAGCCAAAATCCAGTACAGTTTTATCTTCAATTACTTTTTTATGGGTTGTTATGTATCTAAAAACAAGAATTTGAATATTTAGACTTAGAATACTAAATATTTGTATGGTACAGAAGTCTGCTGCTGATTAAAAATATAACAGAAGGAAAAGATAGTCACAAGCTTTGTGAAACTCAAACTCTTTGTCTTTTTCAAACTGTCATGCAAGTAATAAACAACCAACGATTCATAAATATCATGACAGCTCAGATGAAGGTAATGTGAATTGGTACTCGGTCAGTAGCACAAAGGACATAGAGATTGTGATGGTGATGTCGTGGGTTTGCTCTATCACACTACCACTTTTATTGGACATGCCTCAAAGTCAAATTCAAAATAACAAAGCATCCAACAATTTGTATTTAAAAAATTAAAAAATTAATCAATTTGAGAATCATATTAGTTATCTATCTTTCAATACAAAGATTTTTTAGTGTTATCGCAAGTGGCATTTTCAAAGAAGATGACACAAACCCTTTCAGGAGAAATTAGTACAAACCCATTCAATGTTTTTAATGTCTAAAAGAGAGATGAATTTAAAACATTTTTATGTTCAAGCCCTATACTATTTAATTTGAAGCAAGATGTGTACAGTGTACAAAATTATCAGGCATTACATATTAGAGCTTTAAAAAAATAAGTGATAGGACTTAAATTGCATCAGAGATTTGTTTTTTAGCAGCTAAGTCCTTTATTTGTGTAAAAAAAGTAAGAATTTTTATTTCTTGCTAGAGAAAAATCTGGATTATTGTTGTTGGCTTGATTTTTAGACATCTGAATGAT